GGACATGTGGTGACTGAGTCAGAGTCGGGCGACGACTGTATTCAGTGTCCATTCCATGGCTGGAGGTTTGGCGGAGACGGACAGTGCAAACGCATACCTAATCTCAAAGGTAAGCGTAATATTTGATTATTTATTTAATATTTGTGCGTTCGATAAATATCCGAAATTCATTAACCATAATTTAAAATTCATTTTTATGGCCAAGTAAATAATTAATTCAAATTATGTGATAGCCATAATTATCGGCAACTATCGGCCATCAATGCAGCAAATTTTTATTTATATCCCATAAAAAATAAATGTTCTGTCGACCACTACTTTGGTTTTGCTACCATGATTGCAGAGAATGACTTACCCAGTAATTTGGTAAAGGAATAACTGGAGTCTAGGATGGTTACGACAGAACTTTTTATCCAAAGTCAATTAACTTTTTTCTGGTGATAATCCAAAAATTCTGTTCAAAAATAGGCCAAAAATTGCTCTATTTTGGGTATATGTTCAATAAAAGCATCGGAACACCTACCCTATTACTGATAAATGGTTATAACTAATCACCATGCAGTAGCCCATGTATGACAACATTTCCATATATAAATTTTTTTGATCGGATCTAGTCCGACGTTTTGCCGCCACATTGTTAACTTCTTGGGGTCGGACCGTTCGGGTACGGTCTGTGAGGTCATAATCACCGATTTAAACCTTGTGAACCATTTATATCATTTGGTGATAGACAATACACCGACCAAGATTAATAAATTGTTTCTGTGAACTTTATAATAAGTTCTCTTGGATAAAGTCTAAAATAGGTTAAAATTCTAATGTTCTTGCTATAGACTCTTTTTGGTTAAATGACCACTTCTTACAATAAATTTAATAATTTTTGAACAGGTAATTATAGCTAAATAATAAATCTATTAAATGAAGTTTAAACGGATTTGTTGGCAATTACCAAACACTTTTGGCAGCCATTATAAAAATCACAATAGAAAAATTTCGGTTAATTATCGAACGCACAAATATTTTGGCTATTATTCACAATTAATTATAGTAAATATTTAAATCAGTAAAATTCAGTATGACCTAGATTGATTTTACTTAAGTTAAACCGAGGTGTATCCGGGAAAGTAGGGTATTTGTATGAAACATTATGCACTGTTTTAATAATAAAAATATTGTATAATTATCTTATTAAGCTCTAACGGTTAAGTATTCACTGTAGAATAATTAGATAATTGTAAAATATAAATTACCATGTTTAGTAATTAACAAAGTTTTATTTGTTATATTTTGTACATTAATAGAGAGCGAATTGAAAGCATTGAAGGCAAGGGTTAAGCGGTGGCGAGTGATGGAGCAAAACGACATGATATACGTCTGGCATCACAGCAGCGATGCAGAGCCCGACCACTGCCTCCCAGACCTGTCCAAGAAGTACAACATTCCCAACCTTACAGTACTTTCCAAATACACCTACAAGTTATACACATCATCACAGGTACATTTGAATTATGGCATTATAAACACTGTAAAGCATTTACATATTAAATTAATTTAGTCAATAGAATAAGCAATTAATTTATAAGTATTTAAATAATTATTATTAATATTTATATTCTATAATTAATATTGATTAGCCGTCTGCTCCGTTCACAAAATCTGTTACCCAATCCCACTCCCATTCTTGTTTTCTATCCTCTTCTATAGTTTTCACCATTCTCCAACCCCCCTATTGTATGGTACTGTTGTAGTTGTAAAGTTCATTAAAATGGAATAGTATAATGGAATAGTATAATGGACTAATTAAATGCAAATTCTTATATTTATTTTATTGCTAGCAAGTAATGGAAAACCCAATTGACATCGAGCACAACGACTATGTGCATGCACATTTCATCAAGGGCGTGCTTAGAACAAAGTTTATTGTAACAGGCGATGGCACTGAGAACAGTCCGATGGTCATATTGATTGAGCTATATCTATTTAAACGCAAAATTACCACAATGCATCTGGAGCACAGGGTGTGCACACCGGCATACGGCGAGTACCACGTCAAATACATCGGTATACCAGGGGTTACGCCCGCGATATTACTCGTGTCGGGTATCAGTTTGGCGCCCGAAAGGATGCTTTTCAATACCCGATTTTTGGGCACTTCTACCCTATGGAATCAAATTGTATTATGGTTATTTCACCGCATGTTATTGACACAGGTACTAATTTTTGTTTTATCATTTTATTTATTTTTGTTTTTTGGTTAGAAAACATACAAAATTAATAATTACCTGTTTGAATTAAAGTTAACAATAAAACCTACTAGTTGTTATAAAAACATTTGACTATTGAACAATTGTTAACATAAAATTTTAAAAATAGCTACCATGTCGTGTTCTGTATTGTTAACAATTATTATGAATTATAATTTATAATACATGCTATATACATTTATGCCCGTTGTAGTTTATTGATATAATTTATTAAATCATTATAATAGATATGGGATGATGGTCCAATCTGGAGCAATATGAACTGTCCATCACAGCCCATATTTACCAAGAATGATACCGTTATCGCCCGCACCCGACGGATGTTAACTAAGTTTTACGATTAATTATTATTCTATTTAATATTATATAATATTGATGCCAATCAACAGAATATTCTTAATCTTAATCCTAATTCTGATTATAACTTTTATTCGTATATTATATGCTTATAATATGGGATATGTTTTGCCGCTAAATATGATTCTCTCTCTCTCTCTCTCTCTCGCATTTCAATACAATACTAATTATGAATACAATTATGAATACTAATTGATATTTAATATATGCATATCAAATGCACGCTACCATTTTGTATCTCTATTGATATTACGTTTAATTTTAGTGTTTGTCTCTAAGAAAGAGTGTAATTGTTTGTTATATGTGTCTATTCGGTGAACACATCAGTACCCGATAGCCGCAGAGCCCCAGAACCTACACAACACCTTTGGACACCGATTAATACCCGTGTATCCAAAAGGCAACACTATTATTCTATATTATATAAGGGCATCATTTATTATCATTTTGGTAAGGGTGATTATCGTGGACTAGTTAACAAATATTACAGTAATTTACAATAACTAAAATAATAAATGTTAATAAACGTGAATTAATTTAGTTATGACAGACTAATCAGTTTAATTAAACTATCTAGCTATATTAAATAAAATGAATATATTTATGAAAATTCTATTAATAATTTAAGTAGGAACAAATACAAATTTATATCAATAAACTTAAACCACGTCAGTAACAGTCTTAACAGTCAAACTGTTGGCAATATGCTTCTCATTGACATCTCCTTTGGCCACAAACTGCACTGTCTTTGTCTCGTCAAACATGAAGAACCCGTTGTCCACAAAATGGCCGCTAATTTCCGATCCGAGCTTCAGGTCGAGGGCCAGGAATGGGGCCACGGCTTCGTTGCTTCACTACCACCGCAACTCCAATGTCTGGTTCTTCGCGGCATTATTTTAAGAAAGTGAACGAATGGCTAAAGAAATATTCAGGTATTTTAAAATGTGTAAGTGATCTAAACGTTGTTTGAAAGACAGTTTTCTATTTCATTCAAAATAAAGCGGTGCGTATTAGGGAAGATATATGTTGTTGCGTTACGTGACGCAACAAACATATATCTTCCCTAATACGCACCGCTGGATAACCGTCTGTTATATAAATGAAGTTCAAAACATATGTTTTAAATACCGAAATATATTTTAAAAACAATTAATCATATAATTGTTGTAAAAATGTATGAATATATGATTGTTATAATTGTGTGCTATATTTTATACAATTTATATTACAACAAAACATATATAAAAACCAACAAGGTAAGTTTTCTTGAGAGAGAGAGAGAGAGAGAGAGAGAGAGAGAGAGA